TCTGAGAGAGGTCCACATGTAGTACCTATATATGTAATATCAAAGCAATTGGACTTGCGGTTTTTAACAAGAAGTCGAAAATATCACTTTTTACCAAAAATGACAAAAATATTCACCAAAATTGAAGAATTGAAGATATCATTACAAAATGAACAAATCTGAGAGAGGTCCACATGTAGTACCTATATATGTAATATCAAAGCAATTGGACTTGCGGTTTTTAACAAGAACTCGAAAATATCACTTTTTACTAAAAATGACAAAAATATTCAGCAAAATTAGAGAATTGAAGATATCATTACAAAATGAACAAATCTGAGAGAGGTCTACCCAAGCATTCAGGCTTATAGTTTTCAAGAAGAAGTCAAACAAGCAGCCTCTCGGCTGAGATAGCTCCGCTGTTAGCAATGCACATTTCAATTAAAGAACAGAAGATATCATTAGAAAATGAACAATATGTATAGTATCAAAGCAATTGGACTTGCGGTTTTCAACAAGAAGTTGAAAATATCACTTTTTACCAAAAATGACAAAAATATTCACCAAAACTAGAGAATTAAAGATATCATTACAAAATGAACAAATCTGAGAGAGGTCTACTCAAGGTACATATACACCAAGTATCAAAGCATTCAGGCTTGTAGTTTTCAAGAAGAAGTCGAAAAAGTAAGACATTGACACGGACGACGACGATTGACGCCGGATGACAACGGACAATCACTCATATGATAAGCTCCGCTCGACAAAGTCGACAGCGGAGCTAAAAAGTAAAACATTGACATGGACGACGACGGACGACAATCATTCATATGATAAGCTCCGCTTGACAAAGTCGACAGCGGAGCTAAAAAGAAAATACAGAATAAAATGACATGTAAATTCAATACTCTTTATAGAGTGAAAAAATCATGTTTTGTACAAGAGCATCAAATGTAGGAACATACCATGAGCACTACAGTCCCAGGACCGGCCAAAGAATAAACAAAATGTATTATCATAAAAAACACTTTTGTGATTATGTTGAAATCAAAGCCCTGAATAATACATATTAGTTTGAAAGATTCAGAAGTAATTTTAACTTAACTGTGCTACTAAAAATGTTACCATGGAAATATTAAGGTTACAAATTAAATCATACAAAAGACCTCCCCAACTCTTTCAAGTTTTATGTTACCATGGAAATATAAAGGTTACAATTGTATATCAATAATCTATAATAAATAATGTGAATACTTACTGATGGCTTTTTGCCATTTTTCAACATAGTTTTTCGTTTTAGGCAGCCTGTAAGAAGTGCATACACATACATAAATACCATGACTGTACAACTCAACTACATTCAATGTGTGACGTGAATGTGTTTGATAAATAAATGGCAACTTTGCGATAAATATGCAATAACTTTGCAATAAATACTCAATACTTTTGTGATAAATATAGGACCTTTGTGATAAATATGCGATCTTAATGCAAGTGATGCAAATGCTAAAACAACGACTGTATACTGCGTCTGTATACCAAATTTGACAACACAGAATGACACTTTTATAAAGAAAAAACAAAACAATTATTGAGATGAAATAGGAACATCACCGTGAAACAATAATACACCTTTGAAAGACATCCATAAAAAGCACATATATGCAATTTTAATTTTAGGAAAGTCGCAGTGTTTAGAAATCTTAAATCTTAATCTTCAAAAGTGAAAAAAAACTTACCTTGAATAGAAAATGAAGAATCAGATAAGTCACTATAAACTACGTCATCACTTGAAATGGAAGAACTGGTGAAGAAGAAAATTATTTATTGTTAATAATGCAAATTATAAAATTGTAAAAACGAAAAGCAACAAAACTTTAAAAACAAAGTAAACTAATCTTCTGACTGAAGAGGGTGCTATACCCCAAAAGACTATACCTGTCAATTGGCCTCATTAACATATCTTGATCATCACTAATTGTAGACACTGAACCTTCACTACTTCCCCTGGACTGACCATTTATTGAGCAGTCCAATGGACTTCCTGTAAAATCTTCCAGTAGACTATCGTCTAATAGATGCCTTGAACCATTACTCGTTACACTACTTGGCAAACTACTAAGAATCAACGAATAAATTCAAATTTAATTGTAAGAATGGAAATATGTACGAGTCTCTAAAGGTCACACACATTCTGATAGTTTGGGGACAGGGCACAAAATCACTATTAAAAAATTACAATCAGTTTTCATTGAATTCTGAAAATGGAGGACTTACGCCAAGAATAAAAACTCACTAATTTGTTGGCGCGATTTACAATTTTCAATTTCATTGGCAAGTATACAAATTTGTTGAACAAATGATGAGAATTTAAAGTCTTGTCGATAATTTGGTGAGACTCAAATGAAGCAGTGAGAATTTTGAATCGCACCATTGAATGATAATAATATCAAGTCTTGTCAAACTACAAGATACTTGTGTTAGTTTCTCAAACTAATGAATTTACTATTTAACATGACATTACCCCTAGAAAATAGTGTGGTTTTTAGATGCCATGCATAGGCCAGGTATACTTTAAATACATTTAACACTGAGGGCGCCAAATATGATGTCATAACAACGGGACGGCCACATTATCAATGCGTCCCATCACACATCTGTAATCCATTTACAGGTTTCACATGGGTATCACATCAATAAACAAATAACAAACAAACAAACATGCACATAAAATACATATTAAAAAACAGTGCAACATTACATCAAACAATACACCTTTGCAGAAACTCTTGATCATATTCATTTTAGGAATTTTTGAATATAGTATTATAAATCCCATTGAAAGTTCAAACATAGTGAAATTACTGAAACCTTGCACAGGAGGAGAATAAATCTATCAAATCCAAAGTAGACTGAAATATTGATTTCTACATAATAATTTTACTATAATAATTGTTATCACCAAATGAATTATTTCTTAATATCTTGATAATTTTGGGCGAAATAGACATCAATATTTTTGAAAAATGCAGAAAAAAGATTTATTTATCAGCAAATGACAAAACTTCTCTTTCAAAAAGATAACATAGTTGAACTCTGGTGACCTTGCCCTTTGTTATATAATATAATTCCCTTTATCATAGTTTGTTTCAATATAAATATGCATTGTCATAATTAATTACGAATACAAACAAGTTTTGGGGTTGAACCAACAGTGGGGAACCAGTCTACCGAATGTCCTTAAAAGATGTAAATATCTTACAAAAACATTGGTGCCTTATTTGTTTAATTATTTTAAGGGACATAATTTCCAGCTTTCTTCAAAGTAATTCAGATATTTTAGTATAAAAACAAATGTCTCATTGAAAAAAAAGTGCTGCATTTAGATGTGAATAGATTCATAAAACATGCAAGATAACAGAAAATTTTTGCTGGCTTTAGTCCAAGTATTTTGTACAGGTGTCTGTCAAAAATTAATGATTCACTGAGACAAATATGAACTGCCTCATTGTGTGACTCCTGTATTATATGAAAAGTAAAAAAAAAACACCCTTTATGAATAGCAATCATGTTGCAAGCTCTGCTTTGTATGCAAATCAACTTAAGGATGTAGTAGACTTTCGTGGTGATTTTTTTCTTCATTTTTTTTTTCTTTTATTAAATGGTGACTTATATCTATAGGCAGCCATACGACCTTGTTTTTTTTATTAAATCACGTTTTTATTTCAAGAAAAAATGGCTTTTTAAAAAATAAAAAATAATTTACAATTAACGGA